CAGCTGATACTCGTTGCCTCTGATTGAGAACCACTCTGGCCAACATAGATATACAAAAACTAGACTAGACACAACGAGCACAAAACATAAACTCTACACGCCCTGGCTCAACTTAAAAGAGTCCCTAGAGCCAGGGCGTGACAAGCTAGACCTTGGGAAAACTACTGCTCGCTATTGCGCAGTGACCTGTTGGCCTTCAGGATGGCATAAGTTTCCATAAGTTATGTAAAAACGGTCCACCCATTAAGTCAAAATGTGATTGGTTGATTCCACTGTCACTCCAAAATGTTGCCCTTATACAGTTGAATGGCAGATGCCTTTATCTAGCTTCTGATGGCCTAGCCAATGGCTGACTTAGTTAGCTAGATATATCTCCCCAGAGACCAGCAAAGAAAAATTCTGATAGGATATTTTTTCTCTTCAGCGTTAACCCTTTCCTTTCCAACAAAAACTGAAGAGATTTAATCAGAACATCATTGAAAATAATAACATCATTATCATTATTATTATAATCATTATTTTATAAATCCTTAGCCTTTCTCTGAAGGCCCATTGTTCCCCACTGTGTTTGGGTTAGTAATCATTTGTAGAGTGGCTCTGTTTTCCCTCAGCATGCATTTTTTCACTATTCTGAATGTCTAAAGAATCCATATGTTGTTCTGAAATATGAACACAGAAATACTGGACATTTTGAACTCTTATTATGGTTACGATTTTACAAAATTACAATCATGGTCGTGAATTGGACTCGCATATTTCTGGTCTCGGTCTTGACTCGGTCTCGGACCCCCTCCGGTCTCAGTCTTGACTCAGTCTCAAACCCCCTCCGGTCTTGGTCTTGACTCGGTCTCGAACCCCCTCCGGTCTCAGTCTTGACTCGGTCTCGAACCCCCTCCGGTCTCAGTCTTGACTCGGTCTCGGACCCCCTCCGGTCTTGGCCTTGAATCGGTCTCACTTTAGGTGGTCTCAAACACAACACTGGTAGATTCTCTACCTATTAGACACCAGAATAGATGGTAGATACTCTACCTATTAGATACCAGAATAGATGGTAGATACTCTACCTATTAGACACCAGAATAGATGGTAGATACTCTACCTATTAGACACCAGAATAGATGGTGGATACTCTACCTATTAGACACCAGAATAGATGGTAGATACTCTACCTATTAGATACCAGAATAGATGGTAGATACTCTACCTATTAGACACCAGAATAGATGGTAGATACTCTACCTATTAGATACCAGAATAGATGGTGGATACTCTACCTATTAGACACCAGAATAGATGGTAGATACTCTACCTATTAGACACCAGAATAGATGGTAGATACTCTACCTATTAGATACCAGAATAGATGGTAGATACTCTACCTATTAGATACCAGAATAGATGGTGGATACTCTACCTATTAGACACCAGAATAGATGGTAGATACTCTACCTATTAGATACCAGAATAGATGGTAGATACTCTACCTATTAGATACCAGAATAGATGGTGGATACTCTACCTATTAGACACCAGAATAGATGGTAGATACTCTACCTATTAGATACCAGAATAGATGGTAGATACTCTACCTATTAGACACCAGAATAGATGGTAGATACTCTACCTATTAGATACCAGAATAGATGGTAGATACTCTACCTATTAGACACCAGAATAGATGGTGGATACTCTACCTATTAGACACCAGAATAGATGGTAGATACTCTACCTATTAGATACCAGAATAGATGGTAGATACTCTACCTATTAGACACCAGAATAGATGGTAGATACTCTACCTATTAGATACCAGAATAGATGGTAGATACTCTACCTATTAGACACCAGAATAGATGGTGGATACTCTACCTATTAGATACCAGAATAGATGGTAGATACTCTACCTATTAGACACCAGAATAGGTGGTGGATACTCTACCTATTAGACACCAGAATAGATGGTAGATACTCTACCTATTAGACACCAGAATAGATGGTAGATACTCTACCTATTAGACACCAGAATAGATGGTAGATACTCTACCTATTAGACACCAGAATAGATGGTGGATACTGAGGCTGCAGTACTGCACATAAATCACCATGACAACCTAGCGTGACCCATCCCTGACCACTCCATCAGTACTGCTGCAAGCTTGGGGAAGGAAGGAAGGATAGGAAGGAAGGAGGAAGGAAAGGAAGGAAGGATAGGAAGGAAGGAGGAAGGAAGGAAGGAAGGAAGGAAGGCAGGAAGGGAGAGAGAGGAAAGAGAGGAGGGGAGGAAGGATAAGGGAGGAGGGACGGAAGATGGAGGGAGGAAGAGATGGAGGGGAATGGGGGGAGAGGAGGGGGAGAGGGGGGGGAGAGGAGAGGAGGAGGAGGAGGAGAGGAGGAGAGGAGAGGGGAGAGGAGAGAAGGAGGGGAGAGGAGGAGAGGAGGGGAGAGAGGGGGAGAGGAGGGAGGGGAGAGGAGGGGAGAGGAGGAGGAGGAGAGGAGAGAGGAGAGAGGAGAGAGGAAGGAGGAGCGGAGGAGGAGAGGGAGGGGAGAGAGAGGAGGAGGGAGCGGGGTGAGGGGTGAGAGGAGGGGAGAGGAGGAGAGAGAGAGAGAGGAAGAGGGAGAGAGAGGAGGAAGAGGAGGGGGGAGAGGAGGAGCGGAGTGGGTGGGTGGAGAGGAGGGGAGAGGAGAGAAGAGGAAGAGAGGAAGAGAGGAGGAAGAAAGGAGGGGAGAGGAGAGGAGGGGAGAGGAGGGGAGGAGCAGGAGAGGAAGGAGGAGGGAGAGGAGGAGAGGAGGGGAGAGGGGGAGAGGAGATGAGAGGAGAGAAGAGGAAGAGAGGAGGGGAGAGGAGGAGAGGAGGGGAGAGGAGGAGAGGGGAGAAGAGGAAGAGATGGAGGAGAGAGGAAGACAGGGAGGAGAGAGGAAGTGACTGAGTCAAACCTTTTCGGAGACACAATGCTTTCATTTTTGTCTCTGTAAAAAAAAGATTTGGCTGTGGCATAAGTCACTCATCTGTCAGAGAGAGCAACACTCTTGCACTAAATTTCAGTTGTGATTGTTCTTTAACCTTGGCGGTCTCTAGACTGGTTGCCTGTTTGTTTCTGCCCTCTTGCCAACTCCTAATGGGAATTGTCATGCCAATGTTTGGCTTGCCAATGACAATGAAGCAGGCAAAAACACAACCAGATCTGAAACCAGGCAGTCTCATCAAAAACACAACCAGATCTGAAACCAGGCAGTCTCATCAAAAACACGACCAGATCTGAGACCAGGCAGTATCATCATCATGGGGTTCCTCTTACTTCAATCAGTAGAGTGGTGTCAGTGTCTTTCCAGTCCGATATGCGTTTTGCTGTCCCCTAGCAGATTCACAGAACACTGCAAGTATTCATCTATTCTATTGGACGACGTTGAGTTCATCAGCTCTCCACACAACTCAACTGTATCCACAACACATGATCATGGAAACTTTAACTTTACAGAGATAACACAGATAGGCCGACTGGAATATGTCAGTGGGAACACTTATTGACAACAAATAGTGAGTGTTTTTTATTGAATGACACTTGACTGTAATGTGACTTATGAAGGAGTTATATAGGGGTTATAAGTAGATAATACTGTTTTTTAAAGTAAGCTTTTGATAACTACTTTTATGCATAAAGTCAGCCTTTAATAGAGCATAACTTCAAGATGTCGTTTAATCAGCCAACCACACGAAGGTCCCATAGGAGGGGTTTGGCTGATGTTATGCTCTGTCAAAGGCTGCGCAACATCAGCCAAACCCTTCCCATTGGACCGTGTGTTTGTTTGAGCTCTTGAAGCAGTTGGCACACAGAGGCACAGTTGTGCACAGTGGCAGGGAACGCTCTGAAACCTTCGTATCAGAAATCTGTGATTTGAAACCTTAGAAGTCTGTAGTCTGAGCGATGAAAAGCTGAGAGTATGAAACCAGGGAAGAAGGACAGCGACTCTAGAATGGCCATTCTGATGAAGCTTCACGCCCAAAACGTCTATGAATTAAAACGACACGCCGTTGAACAGGAGTTGCTGCAACAAGATCACTACCGCTCCATGTTTCAAATCAACCAGGGGATAACAACTGTTAATAAGACGTTAAGGGATATAAAAATGATTAGTGGGTATTGTCACCAAACAGAAATTCTCAAGGATAAACCAATTGGAAACTTTCCAAATCTGAGCCTCAGACATAGTTCGAGAGATTTCCGCAAAGGTAACAAAGAAGAAATTATTTCGATTCTGAACTTGAATGGGAAGTGTACCACCTCACTACCGAACATTCGTCTGGACCACACCACAGGAAATGCAAATGGTTTCCCTTCAGAAAGTGGATTAATCGACTTATCTATCTCCCCTTTGTTGGCTTGTAACAAAATCCTTTCCAAATCAGCGGTTACAGTGATCAATGACCATAGGACAGGGATCTACGGAAATGGATCTCAGTTGTCCTCGGAGTCGCGCGGCTCAACCTTTGGTACCAAGGACAGCGGCCACACCCGCGTCACAACAGCCATGTCCAAGACCGCCATAAAGGAAGGCCTGAGAGAGCTGGTCCTGGAGTACAACAGACCCAGGACTATGAGCTATATTGAAAAAGAAAAAGTATTACGAGAAAAGGTGTCTGCTTTTATTAATGGACTCTCAGGGGATAGTTAGCAGAAGAAGAACTGGAGAGATTCTCCATGGAGAGATTTTACGCATGGGCTAGATGGACACCATTTAGGTTGACATGAACACCGGTGTTTTTAGTTTCACTATAGTAGGCTATTATTTAACAAGATAGGTGCATTTAATATTTTAAAACAGACGATGAAGTCAAACTATACACGATCAAGCAAACAAACACTGACGGGCCAAGTAAGAACAATAGAGCATTATGTGTAATGACCCGCGTTCGTGTACGTAACAATGCTCAGGAATATATAGATTCTGAAAATGTTTATAGCAAAGTTGGTTTTGAGGAAGGCGAGTGTCCGACCACAACAATGTCGGATAGCGACGAAGACCACACCAACGGTGATGACAACGTTTTTCTCAACCTGGTCGCGCGCGTCATCCGGAAACCCCTCTACCGGTTTCCTGGGCAGTGGGGCCGCGAGACCTACGAGCCGCGGATCTACAGAACTCTGGGTACCGTACTACGGAACGCGACCTCGGAAGAATTCGATGCCTTTATAACGGACTTCATCAATTTCGCGCGGACGGCTCATGCGCGCCTGGACATGCAGTTCTACATGGAGTTCATCAATGTGTGCACCAATACCATCCTCCACTGGGTGTTCGCGCGCAGGGGCAGCGCCGACATAGTCCGGAAGCTGATGGAGAGGACGTCGGTGTATCTGCAGGACCAGACTGACAACCTGGCCATACTATGGAGGTAAAAACCGTATTTCATTTTTTGTTTGTTTTTACCGTAAAACGCTGATAAAACGGTCAGCACTAAATGTAGGCCTAATTTCATTTCACAACCACCTGAGCCAACGTCCAGCCAGACCTCTTGGCAGAGGCCATAGTAGTACAGTACACTCCCATACAGGAAAACACTAGTAATCACACTGGTGATAGTCGGGTTTTAAGATAAAGTGGGTAAAGTGGTCCTACAGCTGGGGTCTTCAACTCTGGTGTATTAGTGTTGGTCTGGAATAAAAGCCTGCATCATCAGTAACTAGCCCTTCCAGGACTAGGAGTTGGTGGCAACCCTTTCCTTCAGTAAAACACACGATGCGTCCCAAATGGTACCCTCTTCCCTATACAGTGCACTAGTTTTGATCAGAGCCCTATGGGACATTGCTCTAAAGTAGTGCACTATAAAGGGAATAGGGTGTCATTTTGGGACGCACACACAATTCCCTTTTTCTCCCCAGGTGTTTCACACCCATCTACAGCCCCAGCCCCATGGGCGGGGTGACCCCACTGATGTTCGTGGCCCAGAACAGGCAGTATGACGTGCTGAAGGTGTTGCTGCAGTATGGGATGCTGGAGAGGGAGAGGAGACCAACCCACGTCATCGTCTCGGTCCTGTTTGATCCACCGAGACTGGAGGTGCTGGATGAACGCTGTCACGCCACCGTCACTAGAGAACTCAGGGACTGTATGGCTCTCTGCTTCAGGGTGCTCAGCCATGTCTCCGTGTCTGATATAGAGGTCAGTTTACACACACACACACACACACACACACACACACACACACACTCACAGAGAGAGGGAACTCAGGGACTGTATGGCTCTCTGCGTCAGGGTGCTCAGCCAATGGTCCATGTCTGATATAGAGGTCAGTTTATTTAATTTCCATCACAGATATAGAGATCCGTGGACCTATACAAAACAAGGAACACTTCTTCTTGTGTAGAATGCTGGGTAAAGCAAACAGTTTAAAGCAAATAGGAGAAAGTCACAATCCCACACTGTTGTATAGCTAAGCCATTCTGGTTATTGACATGCATGTCCCTCGTTACAGATGCAGATTGTGTACGGTCGTAAGCCCCTGATCGAAGACTGGAGAGATCACATCCCCCCAAGTCGCTACAGGGACCCCTGTGAACTGACCCACCTCTGCCGTATGGTGGTTCGGACCTCTCTGCTGGCCAGGGGCCGCTTACCGGACGGCATCAAGTCGCTACCTCTCCCTACACTCCTCCAAGGCTACCTCAACCTGGAGAGCTAACCTGGCTGTTTTACCTGGTCTTTGTGAGGTCATGTGGTCTGGAAAAACTCCTGTCTCTGCTATTAAAACAACCAGGAGGAGGAGTTAATAAAGTGACTGCAAATCAAATGTGTTTTATGAAGTCCTTTTTACATCAGTCACAAAGTGCTTTACAGTTGAGATCACACAGAGCAAGCAAAGCAAAAGCAGAAAAACTGTCTACAAGGAAGAAACCTAGAGAGGAACCCTATTGGCTGTACCGGTTAAAGGTTAAGAGTACGTGTGGCCATGACAAGTTCCTTGGTGTCCACATCACAAAGGAACTATCATGGTCCAAAACACACCAACACAGTCGTGAAGAGGGCACAACAACGCCTCTTCCCCCTCAGGAGGCTGAAAAGATTTGGCATGGGTCCTCAGATCCTTAAAAAGTTATACAGCTGCACCATTGAGAGCATCCTGACTGGTTGCATCACCGCCTGGTATGGCAACTGCTTGGCATCCGACCGCAAGGCGATACAGAGGGTAGTGCGTACGGCCCAGTACATCACTGGGGGCAGAGCTCCCTGTCATCCAGGACCTCTATACCAGGCGGTGTCAGAGGAAGGCCCAAAAAATTGTAAAATACTCCAGCCACCCTAGTCATAGACTATTCTCTCTGCTATCGCACAGCAAACGGTGCCGAAGTCTGAAGTTCTGTCTATTATCTATCCTGTTAGCCAGTCACTTTACCCCTACCTACAGTGCCTTCGGAAAGCCAGTCACTTTACCCCTACCTACAGGGCCTTCGGAAAGCCATGTCACTTTACCCCTACCTTACAGGGCCCTTCGGAAAGCCAGTCACTTTACCCCTACCTACAGTGCATTCGCGAAAGCCAGTCACTTTACCCCTACCTACAGGGCCTTCGGAAAGCCAGTCACTTTACCCCTACCTACAGTGCCTTCGGAAAGCCAGTCACTTTACCCCTACCTACAGTGCCTTCGGAAAGCCAGTCACTTTACCCCTACCTACAGGGCCTTCGGAAAGCCAGTCACTTTACCCCTACCTACAGGGCCTTCGGAAAGCCAGTCACTTTACCCCTACCTACAGTGCCTTCGGAAAGCCAGTCACTTTACCCCTACCTACAGTGCCTTCGGAAAGCCAGTCACTTTACCCCTACCTACAGGGCCTTCGGAAAGCCAGTCACTTTACCCCTACCTACAGTGCCTTCGGAAAGCCAGTCACTTTACCCCTACCTACAGGGCCTTCGGAAAGTATTCAGACACCCTGACTTCTTCCACATTTTGTTACGTTACAGCCTTATTCTAAAATTGATTAAATAAATAAACATCTCAGCAATCTATACACAATACCCCATAATGACAAAGCGAAAACAGGTTTTTATAAATTTTAGAATATTTATAAAAAATACAAAACAGAAATACCTTATTCATATAAGTATTCAGACCCTTTGCTATGAGACTCAAAATTGAGCTCAGGTGCATCCTGTTTCCATTGATCATCCGTGAGATGTTTCTACAACTTGAATGAGTGGTAAATTATATTGATTGGACATGATTTGGAAAGGCACACACCTGTCTATATAAGGTCCCACAGTTGACAGTGCATGTCAGAGCAAAAACCAAGCCATTAGGTCAAAGGAATTGTCCGTAGAGCTCCGAGACAGGATTGTGTCGAGGCACAGCTCTGGAGAAGGATACCAAAAAATTTCTACAGCATTGAAGGTCCCCAAGAACACAGTGGCTTCCATCATTCTTAAATGGAAGAAGTTTGGAACCACCAAGACTCTTCCTAGAGCTGGCCGCCCGGCCAAACTGAGCAATCGGGGGAGAAGGGCCTTGGTCAGGGAGGTGACCAAGAACCCGATGGTCACTCTGACAGAGCTCTAGAGTTTCTCGCTGGAGATGGGAGAATCTTCCAGAAGGACATCCATCTCTGCAGCACTCCACCAATCAGGCCTTTATGGTAGAGTGGCCAGACGGAAGTCACTCCTCAGTAAAAGGCACATGACAGCCCGCTTGGAGTTTGCCAAAAGGCACCAAAAGACTATCAGACCATGAGAAACAAGATTCTCTGGTCTGATGAAACCAAGATTGAACTCTTTGGCCTGAATGCCAAGCGTCACGTCTGGAGGAAACTTGGCTACATCCCTACAGTGAAGCATGGTGGTGGCAGCATCATGCTGTGGGGATGTTTTTCAGCGGCAGGGACTGGGAAACTAGTCAGGATCGAGGGAAAGATGAACGGAGCAAAGTACAGAGAGATCCTTAATGAAAACCTGCTCCAGAGCGTTCAGGACCTCAGACCGGGGCGAAGGTTCACCTTCCAACAGGACAACGACCCTAAGCACACAGACAAGACAACGCAGGAGTGGCTTCAGGACAAGTCTCTGAATGTCCTTGAGTGGCCCAGCCAGAGCCCGGATCAAACATCTCTGGAGAGACCTGAAAATAGCTGTGCAGCGACGCTCCCCATCCTACCTGACAGAGCTTGAGAGGATCTTCAGAGAAGAATGGGAGAAACTCCCCAAATACAGGTGTGCCAAGCTTGTAGCATCATACCCAAGACGACTTGAGTCTGTAATCGCTGCCAAAGGTGCTTCAACAAAGTACTGAGTAAACGGTCTGAATACTTATGTAAATGATTTTTCAGTATTTTTTATAAATGAGCAGAATTTTCTAAAAACCTGTTTTTGCTTTGTCATTATGGCGTATTGTGTGTACATTGATGAGGGGGAAAACAATATTTAATCAATTTTAGAATAAGGTTGTAACGTAACAAAATGTAGAAAAAGTCAAGGGGTCTGAATACTTTCCGAAGGCAAATATCTTCCACAACTTTGCTGTGAGAATACACTACCAGTCAAAAGTTTGGACACACATTCAAGGGTTTTTCTTTATTTTTTACTATTTTCTACATTGTAGAATAATAGTGAAGACATCAAAACTATGAAATAACACATATGGAATCATGTAGTAACCAAAACAATGTTAAACAAATCAAAGTATATTTTATATTTGAGATTCTTCAAAGTAGCCACTCTTTGCCTTGATGACAGCTTTGCACACTCTTGGCATTCTCTCAACCAGCTTCATGAGGTAGTCACCTGGAATGCATTTCAATTAACAGGTGTGCCTTGTTAAAAGTTAATTTGTGGAATTTCTTTCCTTCTTAATGCGTTTGAGCCAATCAGTTCTATTGTGACAAGGTAGGGGGTATACAGAAGATAGCCCTATTTAGTAAAAGACCAAGTACATATTATGGCAACTCAAATAAGCAAAGAGAAATGACAGTCCATCATTACTTTAAGACATGAAGGTCAGTCAATACGGAACATTTCA